GAATGAAGGGAAAGGAATTAAGTAATTTATCTAAGTCATCTGAAACATAATTTTTGTAGTAAACAAACACGGATGTGTTACGGAGTAGAATGCAAAATCTACATTAATTTTTAAAATGAAAATGAGACTTCAAAGAAGTTTAGCATCTGTGAAGGGTGGCTTCTGGCGGCACCAATAGGTCTCTCCACTTGTACATTCTCACTTTTCTCAACCTGAGGGGCCAGGAGAGACACAGGAAAACACATGCCAAAATCCCAGGCTGTTCTTGACTTATTAGTCAATTTCTTCCTTCACTGATTTGAGCACCTCCTATGTGCCGGGCCCTGTGAATATAAATATGATTTAAACAAGTCCCTACCTTCAAGCAGCTCACAGTCTAGCAAGATTAATGCAAATAATCGGCTCTAACAGAATGTAATCACTTTTACAATAAAGGTATGTGCAAAATGTTATGGTATCACATATAACATAGCAATTAACCATTTCATATGTTTTTCTACCATGTTTTTCATATGTATCATATGTTTTTCTACCATATCTCCTGCCCTCAACAAAGACTGCCTCAGGTGTTACATTTCTGTGTCTAATTAATTTACTTTGCATAGTACCAAATGCATATAGAACCCAATGCATTATTTTGATGCTGGGAAGTGGTCATGGTTAAACACATTGTTGTGGATTGAATTGTATTCCCCCAAAAAAGATATGCTGAAATCCTAACCCCTAGTACCTCAGAATGTGGCCTTATTGGGAAATAGCGGAGGTAATCAATTAAAATGAGGCCATCGGAGTGGCCTTAGCCCAATATAACTGGGGTACTTATAAAAAAGGAGAATTTTGGACACGTACACACAGAAGGAAGACAACAGGAAGACAGACAGGAAGAAAGTGGCCATGTGACTGGAGCGATCTGTCTACAAGCCAAGGAGCACCACGGATTGCCAGAAAACACCAGAAGCTAGAAGAGACAAGGAAGAGTCCACCCCTGGAGCCATTAGAGAGGACATGGCCCTGCCAACACCCTCGGTTCCGGACTTCCAGCCTCCAGAACAGGGAGAAAATAAATTTCTCCTGTCTTAAGCCACCCAACTTTTGGTACCTGTCATGGAAGCCCTAATAAACTAATATACAGATGCATGTCATTTCAGTGTAAGTTTCTAATATTTTTTGGAAAATTAAACCTCGCCTTTGCCATTCTTGGCAACATTCTTTGCTTGAAGCTAACCTCCAAGTCATTTTCTCTACTGCAGTGGTTCTCAACGTGTGGTCGCTGGGCCAGCAGCATCAGCATCAGCAGGGGGCTCATTAGAAATGCCCTACACTTCAGGTCCCAGCCCAGACCTTCTAAAGTCAGAAACTGTGTGAGCAAGCCCTCCAGGTGATTCTGGCTTGAGAACGGTGGCTGTACTGAATGCATGGGCCAATCTCACTTTGCTTCTGAATCCTGTTCTATTCCAAGTATTAAGGATTATTACAGATTAGTTCTCATCTTCCGAAATATCATAACAATAAAAATAAGCTACTGCTTTCATTATCATTATCCCCAAGCTAAACCTCTAAAGATCCAACAGAGTTTCTTTGGAAGGGCTTTTAACTCCGTGATAGACAAAACTGGTTAAGTGAATGCAATGTAGAGATTTGGGGAATTTTCTCCCATACTTGGCACCGCCCTGCTGCCTTCGAAGCACCTCAGTGCAGATGTTCTCATGCCACAGAATACCCACCCAACTCACCCGACTGCCCCATCCAGGCCTTGTCCTGTCATTCCCCAGAATCCCAAATTTCCTCCTCTCTTCCTTCAATAAAATGTCCAGGCTGGGCGCAGTGGCTCACATCTGTAATCCCAGCGCTTTGGGAGGCCGAGGTGGGCTGATCACGAGGTCCAGAGTTCAAGACCAACCTGGCCAATATGGTGAAACCCCATCCCTACTAAAAAAGTACAAAAATTAGCCAGGCCTGGTGACGTGTGCCTGTAGTCCCAGCTACTCGGGAAGCTGAGGCAGAATTTCTTGAACCCAGGAGGCAGAGGTTGCAGTGAGCAGAGATCGCGCCACTGCACTCCAGTCTGGGCGACAGAGCAAGATTCTGTCTCAAAAGGAAAAAAAAAAAAAATCCATTCACTTGCAAGTTTGGTCTCAAGAGAGTAGTTGGTGAAAAATATTGATTAATTTATAATTAAAATATTAATCACTAATGACCTCCCTCCTTAATTGATCCAGGTTGTATAATTTTCTAAGTTTTTTTTTTTTTTTCAACCTCAATGAACTCTATTTGGGAAGATTTCGAGTACTGTGTCAAAATAAAATGAAGGTCTTTTGTTTGTTGTTTTTCTGGAGGGTAGGTTTGGAGACTGGGTTGGCCAGTGCCCTTTAAATGACAAGTTCATGGAGCAAACACTCAGCTAACACGAGGCCAGTCCTGTTTGGCAACTGCTTCCCATTCCTGGGTCAACAGCCCATCAGTCTGTTGACCTTGAAGCCATGGCACCAGGCTTATCCTTGTACTTTTGCTGCATTCCATATTGGGTGGGGTTTTGGTTTGGGTTTGTGTGTATGTGTGTGTATGTTTTGTTTTATGTTTTTTTTTTTTTTTTTTTAGATATTTCAATTTCTTAACAGGAAATTTTAGCTGCTGGTTTGAATTTAATTGAAGTATTTTGTATGTACACCTTAAGACCCTCAGGCTAGGGTATATTTTTAATAAATCAAACAAATAAATTCCAAGTTTGTACTAACTGAAACGTCCTCATGTCTTCAATGATGGCCCTCTAAACGAAAATACTGAAAAAGGCAAGAATAATGCTGCCTTAGTGGCAAATATATATATGAAAAGCAGCCCAGATTTTAAAAGAGAAAAAAATTCATGGCCTAAATTTTCCTGGAAATGAATCCCAGTTCCAACTTCCAGAGATCACTCTGAACCGAAAGCCCCAAATAGGAGGAAAGGGAAATTGGTGTGTAATGAACATTGTGCCAGGTGCTTTATTTCTTTACGGGACAGTTGGGTTAAGTGATTTCAACCAATCAGATACAGCTCCCTGAAGAGAAACTCCCATTCCTGGTCAAACTATAGGATTGACTCAGGTTTGCATATAATGCATCAACCAAAGTTAGGCCATTGTATTAGTCAGGATATTCTTTTAAATAACCAGAGGGCTTTGTTGTCTCTTAGAATTGGAAGGTCAAGTGGGAAGATAAGTTTCAGGGGCTGCTTGATTGAGCAATCCAAAAATGTCATTAAGAAAAGATCCGGTTTCTTTCCATCTCTCCACCCACTCTACTTTTTACAAGTCAATCAACCCAAGTTGTCTTTTTGTTTTGTTTTGTTTTGTTTTCATGATGACAAAATGGTGGCAGCCGTTCCAGACTTCATACTGACACGCCACAGCAGCTGGAAGAAAGATTCTTTTCCTCTGTTGCCTCTCTCAGAAGAGTGAGGAGGCTTTTTTTGCAGAATGCCCCAACAAAACTCTTTTCTATTTGTTCTTTCATCGAATATTTACTGAGACTTACTATGTGGCAGGCACTTGGGTTTTATTAGAAAACAAAACAAGATGTTTGCCTTCATGGAACTTCAGCAGAAACTTACATTTTAATGTCTTTTGAGTCTTATTTGAGCTGTCCCTTGACTTCTTAGGTTCTGGTAACCTCACTTATTCCCTTTGTCCCACAAACTTAGGTGTGGTATCTGTTTTTAGCCATTAGTGATCTCTGGTTACCTGAGTGTTCCCTTTTTTCTCTCTTAACCTTTCAAAGAACAAATATGTGTCTCCTTTCTAAAAGGGATCCTGACTGATATGGGATGAAAACCTAAACAAATATCTGTTTGCAATGAGAAAAAGTTGGGAAGGTGAACGCAAAGCCTGAGTAGGAACCCAGTCTATAATCACTAGATGATGTATCCCCAGCTGGGACACTGCCAAGCAAAAGGCCATGGGTCAGCTATACTAACAGAAATTGAGGACTGATTTCTGTAAAAGCAGCGCATATCTAGGCATAACTGGTAAATTTATCCCTAGGCATCTATCTATGTGAATGGGTTTGTGTTGAACAGAAAGAAACCTTCTAGGAGAAGTTTTCTGAATAGGTACCCAGTGGCAGAGAAGGTACCAAAGGAGGGAAGGAAGAAGGAAGAGATTGTAGAAAGAAAGCACAGTGATGTTTCCTCTGTCCACTCACAGGGTCTAGGTCTGCCCCCCATGGAGAGACAGGGAGCAGGCTGGCCAGAGAAGACAAGCAGCACTACTTGAAGCCCAGGTGACAGCTGGCTGGAGCGTTCTCTGACTCTGAACTCTGTGGGGTCTGGCTCATTCTCTCTTTGGGCCCACTTTATCTGGGCTTTCATCTCATCATTCCACCAAAACTGCTCTTGTAAAGGCCACAAATGACCTCTGTACTGCCAAATCCATCACTCAAATGTCAGTTCTCATCTGACTTCAATATCAGCATTGCTAATCTTTTGTTTTCTTCTCCAGAAGCTTGTATTTTAGAGACATTCAGCTGCTCTGAATAAGTGCCAAATAGCTAAAGGAAAACGAAACCATCATCTAATCCATTTGACTAATAAGAGTGATGACAATAGTAATAGCTGACATTATTGAGCATTTACCATGTGCCAGACAACATTCTAAGCACCTTATGTGGATTATCTCATTTAATCCTCACTGCAGTCTTGTGAGATAAATGCTATCATTATCTTCATTTTATAGATGAGGTCTCTGAGGTACAGAAAGATTAAGTAACTTGCCAAAAGTCACACAACCAGTAAGTGGTAGAACCAGGAAGTCTCCGTATTTCCATTGTTTGAACTCAAGCGAATCGAATTCCCTATCAGAATTTTCAAATTGTCATCCGCGTATGTTTTGGTGATGTACATATCAGAAGGAGAGAGAACTGAGTTTAAGGATGTCAGGTTCTTAGAAAGATCACCACACTAGTCTGCCTCCTCCACACTACTGTCTTAGTTCAGACCATGGCTGGCCATGGTGTACTGACCTGCAGCCAGAGGGGTCAGAACACCATTCAGAGGGACCCGGAGGGGCGTGTAGTCCAGCAGACAGAAGGTCTATGGATGGCCAACAACATTCAAGAGGCCCGGGGTTCACAGAGCAGGACAACAGGAAATCTCAGGAGTGGATGATGTTCTCATCAAAGGCCAATGGAGACATCCATTGGAGGGTTCCAGGGACCGAGACACCGGGTTGAGATTCAGGAGTAGAACTATTACCCCTGAGAAAGGAACTGGAAGAACAAAGCAAAACAGGAGCCCTAGTGGGAAAGATATTTCAGCAGATTATAAAAATTGAGACTCAGGAGCAACATACAAAGCATAAAACCATAGGCTCCAGGAGGGCAGGGAACCTGTTTGTCCTGCACCATCATATTCTCCTACACAATCTGGCACACACCCCATACTGTTCTATGACTTCCAGGTATCCAGTCTCAAACCGAAGGCCTGCCACCAATAGCATGGTCAAGTTCATATTCAGTGGATATTGAGCACTACAAGAGGTGCTGTGCCAGTTTCTCTCATGCTGGGTCTAGGAGCACTGGACTAGGAGTTCTTGAATGTCCCCAGCTAAGGATATAAACATACTAAAGACCAGGTTGAGGCTGGATCTGCAGTCTGTTGTCTTAGCAGCCAACAGAGAAGGCATGTGAAGGATAAAAACTAGACACACCAAGCAATTTCCTTTTATCTTTCTTTCCAGAAGTATTCATATTTCTAAATTTTTATGTAATTGCTCATTCAAGTCATACTGCTGGCAGAGGCTGAATGTATCACCAAGCACTCTCAAAGTCTGATAAAAACTGATCGGATAGTCTGATGTTTTTGAATAACCTTAGCAATGAAATCAATTAAGATCAGAAGCAGATTGTTTCCCAAAATTTTTTTTTTTTTTTTTTTTGGTAAATATCCTTTATGTATTGATTTTGACCTGGCTAAAATGTTACTATACATTTTTAACCATTGTTGAAATACTCCATAAAAATGACTAAATACTAAAACTAAGTGACATCAGTATTCAAAACAAAATCAGCTAGTTAAAAAGGACTCATTTACATAAGTACAGAAGCACCTTTTGGTTTTATTATTGGTTAATTATTGCTTTATTGTTAATATGGTTAATATATTGACTTCCTATTATTTCAAAATGTAAAATCATGAAAAACTGTGAATTAGTTACAGCAAAACTTCCAGTGCTCTTAAAATATATTTTCTTTGTGACAATGGTGCACTTCCCTTTCTTGTTGGTTTATCATCCCATGAACCGTAAAGTCCCAGTCTCAATGACTGAATCTTTAACTCCATGAAGTCTCTGCATCATCAGAAAGTTCATGTCACTCAAAGGATGACACATAGAACAGTGGTCCCCAACAGTTTGGCACCAGGGACCGGTTTCCTGGAAGACAAATTTTCCATGGACAGGGTGGTGGGGATGGTTTTGGGGTGAAACTGTTCCATCTCAGATCATTAAGCATTAGATTCTCATGAAGAGTACACAGTCTAGATCCTTCACATGCACAGTTCACAATAGCTTCGTGCTGCTCTGAGAATCTAATGCAACTGCTTATCTGACAGGAAGCAGAGCTCAGGTGGTAATGCTCGCTTGCCCACCACTCACCTCCTGTTTTGCAGCGGCTTCCTGACAGGCCATGGACTAGTACTGGTCTGTGGCCCCGGGGTTGGGCCTCCGAATGTAGAGTCAACTGTCCTTGCTCATAGAATTCCACTTTAACCTTCTCCATCTTATTATTTCCATCTGACCAAAAATACTTCCATTATAAAGAATGATGAAACAAGAGAATACATCAGAGAAGTTAATTTAAAACATTGTAGTTCTAAATTTGCATTGAAAGTAACAGTATAAATTCAGTATAAACTGAAACATTGGAAAAGAAATTTTAAGACAACTAGAAATGTGAACACTGACTGGGTATTTGGTAATATTAAAGAATTATTGCTAAATCTCTTGGGTATGATAATGATATCATAGTTGTGTTTTTTTTTAACAGTCTTTATCTTTTAGAAAACCATACAAACATTTTCAAATAAAATGATATGATGCCTGAGATTCTCTTAAAAATACTGCAGGAGTGGAGGAAGCAGGTGTTGAATTTGGATAATGGGTATGTGAGTGTTAACAGTACTAAACCGTCTCTCTCTGTATGCTTCTACTCCTTCTGCATCTCAATTTTGTTAATTTTCAATGGGGCCAATAATAACAGTCATAAGATTATTATATATATGTATACATATGAGTGTGTGTGTATATACATATACACACACATACTGAAGTAGCTTGAGTATGACTGGAGAGTCATACTTGCCTAGCGGCTCAACAATGTTTTCCTCCAGAAACTCTCTTCATATGTTTGTGCAAATTAAGATACTTAATTCTGTTGCTTTCAAATAATCTTAATTCTTTTGCTTTCCACTATCATAGGGTTTCCTGCCACAGATTCACCTCATCCTCCTCTTTCATTCATAGAAAGCAGGTTGAATCAGATTGAATATGAATAAAGAGAATCAAATTAGACAGCAATCCCAAAGGAAGTCAATTAGACATGTCATTTTGAGGGGTAGAAGAAATGGTAAATGCTGGCTTATTGTATTAGTCCATTTTCAAACTGCAATGAAGAAATACCCAAGGCTGGGTAATTTATAAAGAAAAAGAGGTTTAATGGACTCATATTTCCATATGACTGGGGAGGCCTCACAATCATGGCAGAAGGTGAAGGAGGAGAAAAGCACGTCTTACATGGCGGCAGGCAAGAAAGCAGGTACAGGGGAACTGCCCTTAATAAAACCATCAGATCTGGTGAAACTTATTCACTGTCATGAGAACAGCATGGAAAAAAACCCACATCTATGATTCAATTACCTCCCACCAGGTCCCTGCCATGACACATGGGGATTATAGCAGCTACAATTCAAGATGAAATTTGGGTGGGGACACAGCCAAACCATATCACTTACTTTTTTAGTTTCTAAGGAACGTACTGTTTATTACTAGTCTTCAGTACTAGAGAAAAACCTTTGACCATCATATAGCATAAGATAGCCCTAATTCTTCTGTGCATCTGGGGAAATGTTACTTCTGCAATCTCTAATATGCAAAAGGCTGAGGAACATTACTGTGTCTCTTGTTACACTTCCAGAATTTTCCCTCTAATCCCTTGAGTTACCAGCAGTTAGCATTCATTAAGAAGTCAAGGCCAGGCATGGTGGCTCATCCCTGTAATCCCAGCACTTTGGGAGGCTGAGGCAGGTGACTTGCTTGAGCCCAGGAATATAACACCAGCATGGGCAACGTGGCAAAATCCTATCTCTACAAAGTGGGGAGGATCACCTGAGCCTGGGGAGGTTGAGGCTGCAGTGAGTCGTTATCGTGCCACTACACTCCAACCTGGACAACAAAGTAAAGAAAGTTAATACCTGAAACAAGTTTCTGAGGGCTAACTTCAGTCCACTGATGTAAACAATAATAATAATAATATAAATTATTTCCATTTTATGTATAGGAAAACTAATGTTAAAGAAGGTTAAATAACTTTTCCAAGAAATTCAATAACCAGGGAGAAACAAAGCCAGGATTCAACCCCGATCTCGCTTGATTCAATGTCCATGCTCTCCGCCATGCTCACAGACCTCCTTCAAACTTAGAGAAGCTACTCCAGGGAAGTGCACACCATGTTCTCTCTTTAAATGCATGACCACAAATTCTCAGTAGGTGCTCAACTCTGCTGGGAAATCCTGCTACACTCCTCCATTTAGGTCAGTCCCTCTCTATTATCTATCATCTATAATAAATAAAAATCACAATACTGCCCTTTGCCACACATCTCCCTCCAACTACTGCCCCATTTCTCTGCTCTCCTTCATAGCAAAATTTCTTGAATGAATAGCCTCCTTTTCCTTCCTTCCTTTTCTCTGCTCCCCTACTACAATGAGGCATCCATCTCACAATAGAAATTGCTAATGCGCCGGCGCTGCCACCGTAATCCCAGCACTTGGGAGGCCGAGACGGGCGGATCATGAGGTCAAATCGAAACCATCTGGCTAACACGGTGAAACCCTTCTAAAAAAATACAAAAAACTAGCGGGGTGGGGGGCGCCTGTAGTCCAGCTATCGGAGGCTGAGGCAGGGAGGGTAAACCGGGGGGCTTGCAGTGAGCTAGATCGGCCAGCACTCCAGCCTGGTAAGGCAAGACTCCGTCTCAAAAAAAAAAAAAAAAAAAAAAAAAAGAAATTGCTAATGTCATAGGCTCTAATGACCCCCATCTTCCCAAAGTTAGTGCAAGATCTTCTCAACCAACATCAACCACTCTCAACACAGTTGATCATACCCTCCTTGAAACTCTCATCTCTTAGACTCCATGACACCAAGCCTTGGTGCACCTAGGCAGGAATAAGGGTTGGGTGAATTCAGGGCATAGAAAGAAAACCAGTGTGGCTGGAGGGTGCAGAGTGATGGGAGAGCAAGATGAGGTATTTGAGGTGCTAAGGAGACATAGCATCATGTGAAAATCTAAAAGGTGAAGGGAAGAGTTTGCGAGGCTTTAAGGGGATTTTAAGCAGGTGACCAGTGTGCTCTTCAAAGGTCACTCCAGCTGTTTGGCAAGTGGACCATGCAGGCAAGAGAGTAGGAACAGGGACAATTAGAAGGCTCATAATAAATTCTAAAGAAGTGTTTGTTGGCTTGAATTAAATTGGGAAGAAAGGAGGGCACCAGTAAGCAGAAATGTCTGGAGGACAGAACAGAGCCAAAGACTGCAACTCCAGGCAGCAGATAAAGTGCTCTAGGAATTAGTGAGGGGACAGTCTCACCCGTGGGATTCAGCCCAGTTTCCAGCAAACCCAGGAAATTGCCAAATGAGGCCCCCTGTCCAGAGGTGGCCGTGGAGTCCAGTCGCTCCTCTAAGTGGGGAGTAAACTGCCTTCTTCAGCACCTGCAATTCCTATCAAGTAATGTTCGGCAGCAGGGAGAATTTGACTCATTATCTTCCACTGTATCTGTCATGTCACATTACTCCTAGGGCCCTGACAGAACACTCTAGAAGCATGATGCATTATGACTTGACACCAGTTACCCAGTGCTGTACCTCATTAGAGGGAGCAGGGAAGGCGTGAGCTAGGGGTAACCCGCTTTGTACTATCCCAACTCTCTCCATGACTTCATTCGTCTCTTGATCTTTTTGTGGTTGTCATTAGGGGCTCAGAGTTTTATGTCCTGGTCAATTTCCAAATGACAGCTTTTAGTGTCAAAGTGATCAAGGAGAGCTGCTTTCCCCTCCCCCTGTGACAGCGGCAGACAATCACAGGAAATTGATCATGTTGGATAAACTCACCTGATCCTAAAAATGATATTGGCTTCATGCTCCAGGGCAGGGCAAAAACAACTGAAAAATAATTGCCAGTACACCCCAGAGGGAAATTCCTTCCCTTCCCCAAATTTGACAATCAATCTAATCCAGTACACGTGACTAAAAATCACTGCTGTAAAGAACGTAATTCCATTTACACACCAAAGACGCCATGGCAGTTTGGTTTGAATAGGGGATCATTTTGTCTAGGCTTTTATTTTTCTTCATGAGAGACTATATTTGCAAGACTGGCAAGGACATACAATACTAAAATAACAATCACATTTAGGACAAAATAAGCATGTCCTGATGCATGTTCTTACCAATCTTAGATTAACTTGTCTTTAGCCGTGTTTTGATCATTCCTTCTCAATTTCTAAAAACATTCCAAAAACAAAAACTATATGCATCATTGCAATGTTCGTTTCCACCTAGTCTCAGAGTTAAATGTGCTAGCTATCTTCAGAAAACACTCAAAACACTCAACATTTTGTGTTACTTTAGGCTTTTATAAATGGAAAGTTTCCAGATGGGTTTATTCATCTCTCTGGAAGTGAGGAATCAACCTGACCAATATGATTCAGAGAGAGAGAAAGAGACTTTCTGTAACCAGGAAAAACAGTTTACATTCCTTTACATTTAAACTCCAGATGCAACCAGGCTTTGAATTTTTATATTCCGTGAATTCTTAGGGAAGTACTGGGGAAGGCACTTGGGTAAAGTTGCTCTCTAAATTAGTATGAGAGCGTTCATTTAGAGGTTGTGACCCTATAGTGTGTGCTTCCGTCTTGAACATATTCAGCTAAATATGGCATGTCTACTCATCACTTAAGAGTACCTGGCTGGGTGCAGTGGCACACTCCTGTAACCCTAGCACTTTGGGAAGCCAAGGTGGGCAAATCACTTGAGCCCAGTTGTTCGAGACCAGCCTGGGCAACACAACAAAACGCCATCTCTACAAAAAATAAAAATAAAAAAAAATAAAATAAAAAAGAGTACCCAACTTTCTACAACAATATGGGCTGGTGCTCATTTGTATGTTATTAGAGTCTGTTTGATTTGTTGTTTTTCTTCTGAAACCTCTGTTCTCTCCCTAAGTCCTTCAAAGTCCAGAGGTCCTCACCTGCCATGCACCCGCCTCAGGGCCACCCACTATGCCAGTTTGCCACCATGCCTCCTGTCTGCTTTTTTCCAACTAGGAAAATGGTCCTGATTAGTGTATAAGAAACCAAACTATTTGGGAAAAAAAAAAGCCAGAGTTCTAGCAAATGAACCAGGATTAAATTTCAGAACTGTGTTTCCTAGACTCTACAAAATGTAGTTGGAAGGAGATTCAGTAGCCAATAAACATACAAGAAACTCTGAAAGTGTTCAGCAAGGAGGTAAGTTGATAAAGGACAAGGGAGACACCAGAAGACACATGACAAGCTTGCCCAATGTCATCCAACAACAGCATCTAACTATAAGCAGTATGTCAGTAATATTTCCCATCCACAAAATATGGTCTGTTTTTATATCCACGTATCTATCTATTTATTTACTCACAAGATGAATGTATGTGTTTTTCTTCACATTTTCCTGAAGATATCAAAGGCCATAAAACTTAGAAAGTAAAAACTACAAATGAAAATTATGTGGTGTACATGTTTTCTGGATTTGTTTTAGAGGGCTTAATAGGCAAATATTTTTGTCAAATGAAGGTTAAATTTACTTGGATATAGGGTGATCTAAGAGCTCAGAATGAATGGAGCTCTGTCACCTAGTTAGGCAGCGTGGACTCAGGCAGGATCCTAGCTCTAGTATTGATTTCTTGTTGTAATTCTTTGGGTAAGCTTCTACTCCTTCTGCATCTCAATTTTGTTAATTTTCACTGGGGCCAATAATAACAGTCATAAGATTATTGTAAGGATTTAGTAAAACAGTATGTGTCAAGCAACAAGCATAGTTCCTAGCATACCTTAGGTGATCAATGGATAACTAGTTCTTTCCCCTTTTACCTCCAGTTAGATTTTAGACATATGCAACAATCTAGGTTTATAACGTTTTTTAGAAGTCCGTACTTACATTGTAGTATAATCTGTAATCAGCTTGAATATAACTATGAGATGTTTTTCCTTCATTCTAGATTCAGGTTTATGTCTTCCTCTTGCTTATTTGAGGACTAAAGTCAAAATGTCTATACCATCCTGTATAGCCACGTATGGGTCTTGAGCACTTGAAAAGTGACTGGTCCAGCTTCAAATGTGCTGTAAGTATAAAAACACACCAGATTTCAAAGACTTAGAACAAAAGAGAGAATGCAAAATATCTCATTAAGTTTTATAGTGATTGATTACTTTTATTATTATTATCATTATTTCAGAGAAAGAGCCTCTGTCTTTCTCCCAGGTGGGAATTCAGTGGTATGATCGTGGGCTCACTACAGCCTTGAACTCCTGGGCTCAAGCAGTCCTCCCACCTCAGCCTCTTAAGTAGCTAGAACTAGTGCCACCACACCCAGCTAATTTATTTTATTTTTAGTAGAGACAGGGGCTCACTATGTTGCTCAGGCTGGTCTTGAACTCCTGGCCTCAAGATAGCTTCCCACCCTGGCCTCCCAAAGTGCTGGGATTGCAGGCATGAGCCACCACACCTGGCACATTTTTTAACGACAATATTTTCTGTATAGTGGGTTGAATCAAATCTATTATTAAAATTACCTTCACCTATTTCTTTTTCCCTTTTTAGTGTGGCTACAGGAAAATTTAAAATTATATATGTATTTCATGTTATATTTCTATTAAACAGCATTAGTCTAGAGAGTAAAGACCCAGAGATATCCCAAATAAATCTCGAAAGGTGGGGCTGAGTGTGGTGGCTCACACCTGTAATCCCAACACTTTGGGAGGCCGAGGCGGTCAGATCACTTGAGGTCAGGAGTTCAAGACAAATCTGGCCAACGTGGTGAAATCCCGTCTCTACTAAAAATACAAAAATTAGCTGGGCAGGGTGGCAGGCACCTGTAATTCCAGCCACTCGGGAGGCTGAGGTAGGAGAATCACTTGAACCCTAGAGGTGGAGGTTGCAGTGAGCCAACATCACGCCACTTCACTCTAGCCTAGGTGACAGAGCAACACTCCATCTCAAAAAAAAAAAAAAAAAAAAAAAAGATATCTCAAACAGTGAGCGTTGACCATGTTCACCAACAGCCCAAGGCCCAAACTCAGAATTCAGAGTCCACAAACTTAGTGAGCTCAGTCCTCCTGTTGCTTTATGTCTGGCTTAGCTGACCACTCCCCTTCGGTTCCTGCTTTTTCTGACGATGAGAAGTAACCCACCACTGCAGGAAAAGAGCTAAACCAGGGCTATCAATCTAAATGAACCATACTTCCAGTGTTCAGTAGCACAGGTGATTAATGGGGACTGCACTGGGCAGCCCAGTTCCAAAGAACAACACCCTCATATCTTCCTGACTATAATAAGATAGTTCCCTCTGGTGAAATTGGGGTGGATTTTTACAATAGAAATATAGCCTCCCCCAAAAGAACCAAGCTCAAGATATTCCCCTAATCTTAACCAAGCCTTACATTTTTATGTGTTAAGATTACAATAAGGCCTGGCGCAGTGGCTCAGGCCTGTAATCCCAACACTTTGGGAGGCTGGGGCAGGCAGAGAGCTTCATCTCAGGAGTTCAAGATCAGCCTGGGCAACATGGTGAAACCCCTTCGCTACAAAAAGCACAAAAGTTAGCTGGGCGTTGCGGCGCATACCTGTAGTCCCAGCTACTCAGGAGGCTGAGACAGGGAGATCACTTGAGCCCAGGAGGTCAAGGCTGCAATGAGCCAAGACTGTGCCACTGCACTCCAGCCGGGGTAACACAGTGAGAGCCCATCTCAAAATTTGAAACAATTACAATAACACCCTTAACTCAAATACTAGCCTCAATTTAATAGTTTAGGTTTGGCCTGGCAATGACAAGAGTTGGTCTCATAATAGGCTTATAAAAGACTGATGGCCTAAGAGAAAGCAACCGAATTGCTCATTTGCTACTAGGTGCCGGATGTTTAATTTTAACCCTTGAAGAATTCAGAGGCACACACCTCGACTAATTGCACACTGGGTATGGAACATAGAAAACAGTGGCCATGTAGGAGTTTGAATCAAAAGGACTTTTTTAGGTTAAGTTGTTATTCTTGCCTTTCACTGAATGACAAAATATTTTTTTAAATCATGAAACACCATGCAGTGTGTATTTCAGGTGTCTAAGGCCCCATTAGTAGACCAGTTGTATTATGGAATGGTGTGTGATCTACAAAACCACACTGGCTTATTTTACACTGAAGATTGTACATAGGATTTTTAAAGTGACACCTTTAAAATACTGGGGAAATAAAGATGAACGCTTTCCATATAGAATTCTGAAAACTAATTTTTGCAAGGGCATTAATTATTATTCTGGGATAAATGCAATTTGAGATTTCCCCACCCCCAAAGAAAGAAGGCTCAAGTGGAGCTCGTGGTCAGGGAGAATTGGGGAGCTGTCATGAACTCGCCAGAGTTATACTCATGTGTTATGCTCAGAACACTAACCATTTCTCCTCGTTCCTTGATTTGACCAGATATCTTAAATTGATTTATCCACTTCATAAAATGTGCTCCCTTTAGAAAAGCAAATCTGCGCTTTTTAAAGAGCAAATGTCACTTAGTTGAGTTGTTGGACCACGCAGGAAGCACAATGGCAGGAGCAGTGGAATTAGGAAAGCCGTCCTCTCTTTCTCTCAATTCTACCCAAATAACCATGAACTAATTATTCAGCCCCTCTCAGTCTCTGTTTCCCATTAGTAAACTGAAAGCAATGACTGCAGCTCTCCTTACCACACAAAGACGTCTGGATGGCTAGCAGAAATGACAGCATGGCTCCTTCCTCTACTTCGGGCACACAGGGGATAAGGACTTGACTACCGATTCCATCCCCTAATCCCCCTCCTTCTCCTACCACCCCATGCAGCTAAGAGCAGAGAAATAGAAGACAGTTCTGTACAGCAGGACTCAAAGAAAAAAGTAGTTAACTGAAAGCAATTAATTCTTGGTGGTTTTGAGAAGACCCAGAACTCCTAGCTAACTTGATCTAGCTTCGTAAGTCACTAAAAGCCCAGTGCCTTTTCTGTCTCCAGCACTGTACCAGCCTCCGGAGGAAATGCAAGAGACCTTCCAGACCTGATCACCATACCATATTTATAATCTTGCCATGGAGAAGACATCCACTCATGAAGCCAGCAGAACAGATGTGGGCAACTTTCAAAAACAAAGTAACAAATGGTCAGCTCCTGTTATTCTGTAGTGCTAAGGATGGAAAGAGAAAGAGTGAGTAAAACATACTCCTAATCCCATACGTGGCTGACAAAGTGTAGCGGGGTTTGCACAGGCCAGCTCTTGAAAACTCATTATGCAGTGGTCAAGGAACAGCAGGGATTCGGGTGCATTCAACCACTGAATACGAGGAATATACCATTTCAAAATCGGAAGGATACACAGTTAAATCCATAGATGTCTTCAGGAATTTTTAGTAGAAAATATGAAATTTCAACAAAATGTGTGAACCATGCTGTTTCAACTTGTCCTGCTCGAAAGGACACATTCACTTCCCTTTGCCCCTAGTGGTTCTTTAATGTAACTTACATTACATTCTTTTTGAGAACTTACATCAAATTTCTTGAGCTTTTTTGCTACCACTAATGGTACTTGTCACTCAAGTGTTTCAATAGACATATTCTCAGAGAGGATCCTCTCAGGCACAGGGATAAGTGCTAACCTTCATTCTTCTGAAAAACAAATGTAAAATGGTCAAGCCAAAAAACAGGACCACCTCTGGTAGGTCCTCAGAAGCATCAGGCCATGCCGTGGGGCGTTCCTAGAGGCAAACAGCACACGTCCATGAGGAGCTCAGTGTGTAGTAAACAGATCTAGCCCATCTTTTTTATTTTCAATTTATTTGTCAATACGGCCAAGTTTAAAAAGTTCTGGAGTTGTGGCAGGCAAGTGGGTTACATTAAAGGTTCTGTTTGGAGGCAGAGAGATGGAAGATAAAGGATGTGCCTTTAAATTTCCCCTGAACTTGTTACTTTCCAACTCTAAAATGCTTTTGGCAAGAGAAAATAACACATAAGACAACTTCTGCTTATAGATGAAATATCAGAAACTGAATTTATTCTCCTGCTTAAACAAGAGGAAAATAGAACAAAACCTGTGACTGGTTTTCAGACATTAAACAACAGGCACTGTGAGACTGTGATGTCAAGAAGATAGTCACGGCTACAGTTGGTGAAAGCCATTTTCAGGCTGCAGGACAGGGAGGATGAATCCAAACACAGCCCAGCAGTTCTATTGAGTTGTAGAGTCAGAGACTAGAAATCAGAGAAGCCAAGGCAGCTAAAACTTGAGGGGCAGAGAAACCAGGAGCGAAAGGACTGTATATACAGAGAGAACTCCAGTATCTATAAAGGAAGGTCCTCAAGTATTTGGCTGAGTACTGATCTGCAATTGCAAAGAGGAAGGAGGAAGAGGAGGAGGAAGAAGAGGAGAAGGAGAAGAAATTGCCAGAGGTGAGAAAAAGAATCACTGGAAGTGATAAACAGAATAATTTCCAAAGCTTGTTCAGGGCTGGAAATAATTTGTACTCCACCAGGCAAAGTAGTTAACTGAAATCAATTAATCCTTTATGGTTTCAAGAAAACCCAGAACTCCCAGGTTATTTAATCTGGCTTCGTAAATCAGCAAGATCTCATAATATGGGGCATCAGGTAGGATCCACAAAAGGGTATTATATTACCTTAACAACGAGATTAAATTAGACCTAGATTAAAGACTGCTGTGAAACTGCCCTAACAAAGTATAAAAGCAAATCAAAAAGAAAAGCTAATTCGAAGTCACTTAGCAGTTCACAAAATCCAGCAAGTAACAGTATAACCTTCACAACGTACAATATCTGATTTTTAAAAAATTACAAGGTATGAAAAGAAGCAAGAAAATGTGTTCTATAGCAATAGAAAATCAATACATGGAAACAAGCAAAGAAATAACAGAAATGATGGGACTAACAAACAAGAGTGTTATAACCAATAAATAATAATAAAAATTGGAAATGTATAGCTACTAAGTTGAAAGTAAAGATGACATGAAACCATAAAAAAATTAATCTAGGCCGGGCATGGTGGCTCACACCTGTAATCCTAGCACTTTAGGTGGCTGAGATGGGAGGATTGCTTGA